CTCATTTGGGCCATTCATTATCTCTGTCCAAAGCAGCTAACCAAGGTAGCGCCCTCTGTATGGCCTCCATGAGTGAAGGAGACAGGCCTGACATTCATCACAACAGCTGCTGTTTCTTAAGCATTTCTCATGCCCCTGGAACCTCATTTGGAGCTGGCAATTAAACAAAAGCAATGCCAGGTACTAGATAGCCACTGAGTATAACCCTCTGCAGTGGCATCTCTGCACGGCGGTGAACCAGCCACGGAGGAGCCACTGAACAGAATAATTTAAGTAGTTTCATGACCTGATCTCCCTCCCACAAGGACATCGGTTTTGGAGATTCCCTCTCAGCCCTTTTCAGAACCTACAGCAAACTCCTAACTCAGTAAACTCTAACTTCACCCAAGAGACAAATTCTCCGAGGAAAAGGAGCAGCAAATGAATAAACCCTTGAGACAGAAAGGAGTCAAGTACCTAAGAGATTGGCAGTGATGCTTTGGACACATTCACTTTAGCTTTAAAAAAAACTTTTTGAAAATATTAGTGAGTTACTTAGAACTGCTGTGTTCCAAAGTCTGAGAGCTAACATACTGAGGAATTTAATTGGGATTTCCTTAACACCCTGTCTCATGATAAGAAAGCATCCGGTACATAAATGCTATGCAGCGGGACTGCCAAATTGCAACAGAGAAGGGGAGAGAATTTGTCATTTTGAATTGCTAAGGGAATTCTTACAGCTTTCTCATCTTGTAAAACTATTATTTTTCTGAGCTATAATATGATTTATAAGCCTCTGCTGAGTTTCAGGCTTTTGATGAGAATAGAACTCAAAATAAAATGCATTTTCTCAAAATATAAAATTCTCCCAGGAGTTGACCAAATGAAGAACAAAGCATCCTCTAGAGTGTACCAAAATCTCAGTCCCTGCCGAATATCTACGGGTGAGAGTTATCTTCCGCAGTATTCTGGGCTCAGCTGGACTCTTTCTCTCTACACACTTTTCCTGGGTGACATCCACCTTCCCAAATGTTTCTCCAACTGTCTGCTGGGCCCAGTGAGACCCGCATCCATTCTCATGGAATGAGAGCACACTTAGAGAAATAAGCAAGGTTTGGTTCCTGCTCTCAAGTAGGTTATAGCCCAGCACAGGAAACAAAACGGAATAGGCTAGTACTCTGCAGGTTAATAAGTGCTATGCCTGGAGAAGCGCAGAGGCTCTGAGGAAGTCAAGGAATCCACTCTGAGGGGAAGTATCTTCACTGCATGAGTGTGTGTGCAGATGTGTGAGTGTGTTGGGGAGCCATGAAGAGTGACAAAGAAGTCTGGTCACTTAGAGACCCAGGCCCTAATGGGGATGATACAGAGCAGGGCCTAGAATGCCATCGCCAAAGGGACTGGACAGAAAGGAGGCTGGATCATGGCAGCCACATGAGAACAAGATATGTGTCCTTACTTGATCCTCAGACGGTTTGAAACCCAAAAGGCATAAGGCAGATGCAGAGGGCTGGGCAACCTAGCCTTTGCACTGGACATGTCATGTGATCATGAGTCAGACCCTGGCAAGACCCTCCGTGGTCTCAGCTCTCTGCAGAGATGTTGAAATGGCCCCAAGGAAAGTCAACTGAGATAATATTTCATAATTTTTACCTCACAGAGAGATTGTACTTTACATAAATAATCATCTTAATGTTTCCAGCCACTCTGAGAATGAAAGAGATCACGGACTTTGGCTGGAGATACCAAGAACTTCAAAAGTAAGGCAAGTTACTGAGCTTGCCTTGATCTCTATCATCCTTGCTTATAAAATAATGGTAAAATAGCTCCAAAATCTCATCCAAAGAGCACTTTAATACTTTTTCCAAAGCTCACCTAGGCTTCTGTGAAGTTGCTTATAGTTTTATTTATCTTCTTAATGTGAAACAATCTAAAAATTACCACAAAATATTGCTTTGTTTGATTAGAGGTGTAGTGGCAATCTTAACTATCTAACAGCTAGAAAGTTTTGAATTTAAAAAGATATCCAGCCTAAGCATTTTGGATGAAGGATATGAGCTCTCTGTTGCTTTCTCTTGTGCTTGTGTTCTCTCTCTCTCTCATGCATATATATATGTGTGTGTGTGTGTGTGTGTGTGTGTATATATATATACCAATATATACACACAAAAACCACATACACACTTGGGATAAAACTTAAATATTTCAGTGCAAATTTATATGTAATCAAGTCTCAGAACTGATAATTATTAAAAAGGAGGAGTGGGCTGCCTTAGATTTTATCCTAAATGTTTGTAGAAACTCAAGTGGCAAGGGAATTGAGACATTTCATAGGAAATACATGTTTTTCATCTCCCCCAAATTTTTACAATTACATTTTTTCAAAAGTTAGTGTATAGTTACTTACAATGATCAGACTTTTAAGTCATACATTTTTGCCCTTATCTTCCCATTCATAGTAAGAAGGAGAAAATGCAGAGTATTCATCAGATTCAGCAGTGTGGCTAGGATGATTCTGGGGAAAAATTAGCCAGGTCCTCACCTGGTAGAAGAAAGAGCTCTTCAAAGGAGGAGGATGAACACCAGGAGTCTGGAATTCAGAGAATTTGCCATGACATGGCAGCAAACGAAGATGGGGGTTTCAGGAAAATGTTTCAGGAAAATGATTTTTAAAAATACATCAGGTGCCATGTTTATGTGTAGACCAGTGGCTTTCAAACTTTTTAACCAAGAGAATCTTTTGAAACAAATTTTGACCTGCATGGGGCCTCGGTACACTGCAGTCAGACACCAACTCCTTTTGACTTTATGACCCAAGTGCTCTTTTTTTGAAAGAGTAAATTTGACACATTCAGTTCTTTGGAGATGGTCTTCAGAAATAATGCATTGAACTTGGAGTAAAACACTGGTTTCTGGGAGCTCTGGGTGCTGGCCTGCCAGCTATCCTAGCTCATCTCATGTTACCTCCTTGGCCTGCACTGTGTGTCCTCCAGTGAGGCTATGTCCCTCCCAACTACAAGGATCTCACAAAGGACACTGTGGCCTCTTCTTTTCCTGCCCACTTGCTAGTTAACTCTGTACTCTGTCAAACCCTGACTCAGCTGTCCTTTCTCAGAGAAGTCTTTCCCTTTTTGGTCTGGTCCCCTCCACTGTGTTCTCCTGAACTCTGTACCTCTCCCCATTGCTCTGCTTCATCATGGTTGGGTTAAATCATTAGTCGGGGGTTTGATCTTTTGATGTTTCCCCTACTGTGCTGTAAACTTTGAGAATGGGAAGGGCAGTCCCATCTGTCTTGCTCATGACAGTGTCTCTGGAATGTTCCTCAGTGCCAACCACTAAACGGTCCCCAGCAATGATTTTTATACCGATAAATACTACAGGAAGACAAATGGGGGAGGGAGCTGCCACCAATGTCACTGAAACATGGGCGGAGCCATGGATTGCGTGTGGGGTCTGGGGGTCTTCCCTCAGGCCTATTCCTTGGTGCTCCATGGGGGGCCCTCCAGTTTGGGACATCTTGAAAAGCACAGTTGGAGATGGTAGATATTCTAATAAAAGGCTTTGTTCCTCGGCTTTGGGGTAGGTTGAGTGTTATAGCCTTGGCCTGAGGAAACTTTCCCATTTAAGTGATCAACAGAATGGATAAATGATCAAAGTAGCATTGTGTAGGGAGGAAGCATATTTCATTCAGTTATTTCAACATCTTGTCTCTCTTGGGTGGGGAAAGACTATAAAAGACATCTGTAGGCTGCTCTGAATTATATCCCTCCCTTCCCCCACAAGGCTGGGTGTAGTGTAGACGTTTCTTTGGAAAGTCATTTTGGCCTTGGTCCAGACCATCAGGAAAATTGCCTCTGTTCTCCACAGATTCTGCACACATGGCCTCGCTCCTGGATCTGGGCTCCTCTGACTCTGGGCAGATCCTGTGACTCTAGCACTTATTCAGTGTGGTCAGCCGTAATGGAGTCAAGGGATGCCTTTATCTGTTAAATAGGGCAAATCGCAGGGAAAATTACCTTTTGATTGAGTAGCTTTGCTGGAGAAAATCAATAGAAATGGCCCAAGATTCATTGGCACTATCTCAATTTTAAGTGTTGTAGACTTTCAAATTACTGGAACACTGGGTTTCAGGATTCAACCTCTTCAAAGCCAGCAGAAATAAACAGAGAGAGTTAAAGGAAAAGCAGCGTGTCTGTGCACTCCCAGATTAAAGAGAAAATATGTGCTGACCACAAGTAAGTCACTTTTTTCAACTTCAAAATGTGCTTCCCAAATTCTAAGAGCCTATGTTTGACTTGTTTGAGAGAGAGAGAGAGAGAGAGAGAGAGTTATCACAGCTGAAGTTGTCTTTGTTCAGAATGTAGGAGACAGTCTTGTCTAGACTTTCAGGAAAGATATAAAATGACATTTTCAGAACAAATCAAAATATATTTTTAAATTCCCTTGTTTCCCTTCAGGAAGAAGACTTGACATGCTTCTATAATTTGAATTTGGTTGATCTATAAATGGCATCAATAGTTTAATATGAAGAGTAAAAGGAACCATTGAGAAAAGGCATAGGAAGTGCTGTTCATTCACTTTCTTACTTTGAAAGTAATATTATCAGCAACAATTTAGGAGCCAGGCATGGTAGTGCATGCCTGTAATTCTAGCACTCAAGAGACTGAGGCAGGAGGATCAGATCACGGTGAGTTCAAGGACAGTCTGGGCTATGTAGTGAATTCAAGGCCAACCTGTACTATGTAGCAAGACTCTGTCTCAAAACAAACAAACCAAAACACACATACAACAACAACTTTGGAATTAATATTAGGTGGTTTCTAGGCACCTACTGGGCTCTTAACATACATTTCCATAAAGTTCTCATTGTCATCATGTGCCAATGCTCTGATGAGCACAGAAAGCTGGATCCAGTCACCCCGAGCTGCACAGCCAAAATGGCCAAGCAAAGACTGTAGTGTGCCTACCGGAGCCCACACACACACCTACCCACCTTACCTCTGTGCTCTCTTCTTTCCCCACAGAGCCAGCATCGTACAGAAACGCATTATTTATTTTCAAGATGAGGGCTCTCTGACCAAGAAACTTTGTGAACAAGGTAAGACTTGAAGTGGAGAAGGGCAGATGGTTGGAAGAGGGCTCGCTGAGTTGAGCCTCTCGCTGCGGGAGTGAAGGCGATCAGCTTTCTGAGCCCCTCTGCATAGTGCTTCCTCTTGTAGCTCCCAGTCTTAATCTGGCTGTGTGCTGTGGATAATTGGATCTGCCTTAAGCTCTAATTACTCAGCCCGATTCCCTGGGTAGGAGATAATGTACCTTATATTGGTGTCTTCTTATTTTTGTGAAACAGTGATTATTCTGGAGAGGTTCCTTGGAATAATTCACAGGACTTAATTAAGGCATGCACAATTGTGTACCTTTAAAAAAAAAGTCTATGATTCTGTGGGAAAATTGCCTGCAGAAATATGTGTAGCATCAGGATGACATGGGGAGTTTTCTCCAGGAGAGACCAACAGGGCATTGGGGCGCTGGGGGACAGTGACCTTGGGATTATATCATGTTCCAGGGCTTGGCCTTAGATTTGCAAGCTCCTTGACCCAATCTTCTTGGGTTGCAGGCGTTCTAACAAAGCTCATGGAGACCAAGTAGACTGAGGAGATTCCAGCAGGCGCCTAGATTTGGAACAGGCCTGGGTCTGAATCTGTCTTTGCCCCCTTCCCCAGCTATGGGACTTAACACATGCAAAACAGTCACTGCCTCATACACAGTAAATGCAATCTATATAAGTATCCGCTATTGCTGTCTATATGCAAAAGCTTTTCATTAGTCTACTGCATTAAAAGAAAAAGACCTTAAAATTCTGAAGGTCTTTAAAAATCATTAGATGACTAAATAAAAATAGAAGATGTTCTATAATTACACAGCTTAACTATCTCATTTCTATTCATTTTTGCAGACGTTTTATTTGCATTTAAAGCAATCCATCTTTTGAGAAGAAATAATCCTCTGACTGGCAAATCATAAGCTACTAAGAAAAGTTGATAAAAGTCTTCTGGGAAAATAAAAATAAAAGCTAATAATTTGTGAGTCCTTACTACATACCAGGCACTATTCTAAGTACTTCATATGCATTAATTATGACTTTATAGTGAAGATTATTAAATCACCTCTGCTTATAAATGAGGAGCATGAGACAGAGGCTTGGTTTGGTGTTGCTTTGCTTTGATTTCTTGGTACTGGAAATTGAAGCCAAGGCCTTTGCATTGAATTATCACCTAGCTATTTCTATTTTTTATTTTCAGGCAGGATTTCATTAAATCACTAAGTTGCCCAGGCTGAGCTCAAACTTGTGATTCGCCTGCCTCTGCCTCCCAAAGTGCCAGGATTAGAGGAAAATGCCACCATTCCCCAACACCAGTAGTTTAGCATAGCTCTCCCAGCATCACCTGCCAGGGTTTGATCCTTGAAGTCAGTGCCCTGAACCACTGCCTTTCTACCAAAGCCACTGTTTTCTAAACTCTGTCTCCTATTTCAGTTTCTTGCATTATATCTTTCATTTAATCGCATGCATTTTAAAGTGGGAGTTAAAACACACAAACCACAGAAGCTTTCAATATAGTCCTGATCAGCGTTAAAAGACACTGAATGATCTTTTGCCCACATTCCTCATCTTTAACTTTACATCCTGTTATACAAGGGCACTAGTAATATGCACAATGCTAATTCCTTACAGTCCAGTTTGTCAAGCAGCAAGATGACAGTGAATCATAACAGCACAGAATGTTTTCTTTAAGAAACCTCATCAGTAGCATAGCAATTGGTAAATGGTTATTCATAGAACTGACTTGGAGGGTAATGGTAACCATTTCTCACAAAACACGTAGCACATGTATATCAACAACTAGGAAATGAAACTCTAATTAATATAAGACAAAATGTCACTCTTTACGCTTAAAGTTTAAAACTCTGGGATACTTTAAAAGTAGACAATACAAGGTGCTCTAATTCTGGATGCTATAACCAAAAACTATGCTATTAGCCGCCTGAGAGTTTATAAACTTTGAGGACTCCTCATTCATAGGCTTTTCAAAGTCAACTTCAAGGGCCAAGGATTTAGTTCAGCGGCATAAGCACCTGCCTGGCAAGCACAAGGTCGTGAGTTTGATCCCCAGTACCAAAAAAATAAAAATAAAAAGGATACAACTTTAAAAAAAAAAGTCAACTTCAAATATAAAAACCCTTTATTTACCAGGCAAAATCTAGTTATTGAGGGTGTGTTACATAAAGTAGACCTTTTAAGAAAAACTGGCTTTAAAAAGATTGCATCATTAACATATAGTAACCCTAGAATTTGTTAGTCTTTATTTATCTTATTATTTATTTTTTGGTACTGGAGTTAATCAGTTAAACTTGCATTTATTATTTTCCCTCCAAATAAATCATTAATCCATAGGGGAAGATTAAGAGCATGAATAACAGTCACTGCTTTTTAAAGCAGTATCAATGTTAAGCTACTTAGAATTAAAAACACAAAATAGTGAAGAGGGTGACCCTAATAAATACATGCATGCCTACCATTGAATACTGTGTTGTAAACAAGGAGAGAGACAAAGAGGAGGACAGATGATGGAAGGCGAGCAGAACAGGGTTAATGAGAAAAGGAAGAAAAATGGAAGAACAAGGCAGAGTTGAAAAGGAGCCTGGGCCCAGGCCTGGGGTCGCCTGCATCTGGCAGCTCACTGCTGCTGTGGGGAGCCGGCTCCTCATCACCCCACTTCCTTACCAGTCGGTTTTCCTCGGCGGGAAATCATTGTTATTTCCAAACCTAGAAATTTATTTTGGGGGCCGAAGCTTACTTTCCTTTGGAATCCCAAGACGTTTATCATAGTACATTTCTTTAAATCCTTGAAAATAACTTTAACTTTACCACCTCAATCTGGAAGCCTTTTTTGATAAGGTAAAGCCACCAATTGGCTTTGGGGGGGGGGTATCCTAGAGATTGTTGCTATCTCATTTAACAGGTGCTGATAGTTACAATGGAAACCCCAGCAGGTATCTCTTAGTTCCAAATCATTTTTTCAAAATTAAATGAGGCTTTTCACAACACAGTTGGCCATAGATTAAAGTGGCTCATACAGGACTCAGATCCTGGCTTCCTGCATACGCAGTGGTTCTCTGGCCTCTTCCAAGTGTTCAGAAAGTAGTCAGACAGTGATTTCTACTTTGGGTGGTTGAACCTCTTCTTTGGGACTGTTTCAAAATCCTGGGACTCTATAGGGAAGTAATTTTTTTAAATCCACCATTCTTCATTTGGAAAAGGCAAAAGTGAGTCAAAAATCACAAGAGAAAACAGTCTTTCCCTCCTTGTGGTTAGTGCAGACCTACCCAGAGTTGGTCTTTCCTGGAATAGTATAAAGCAGAGATTAAGAGCAAGGGCTCTGGACCCAAAAAGATCTGCTCCCCAGTTCTGCCTGCACAGCTCGCCAACTCTGTGACCCTGAGCAAGTTACCTGCCTCAGTTCACTGCTGTGTAAAATAAAGAGGACCAAAGTTCTTACCTCTGGGGATGGAGTCCAACCTTGGCTTGGAAGCATAATTCATCCAGGTAGCGTGCTATGCTCATAATCCAAAGCATTTGTATATCAAAGCAAATTTCCCCATAAGAAATAATGGGAATTCAGATTATTTGTTCCACAACCCAAAAATATTCATATGCAAATACTGTATTATAATACAAAACAATAAAGAAAATATAAAGAAAAATGAATTAACCTGCACTTACCTTTGAAAAACCTTTGTGACTGGAGTGAGGAGGACGAGAGAGAGGATTATTGACTTGATGGGAAAACTTTCACCATCTATCAGAATGACAGCTGTCTAGTGGCCGAGTGGAATCTTTTCCTTTGCACACGTCTTTAACAAGGAAGCCAATTACATTTATGATCATGTGGCATTCAGCATCGTGTTACTTGTCCTGCAAGACGTTGCTCAATTATCAAGTTAAGATTTATTAGAAATGCTTGCTCATCCCATGGAGCACTCATAGAGCGAGTTCCTCTCAACCCAAGGATTTACTAATGGATGTGGAAAGGCAGGAGCACAAACAAGGCCTAAATACATTGTAGTTATCATTCCAGTGCATCAGACTTTTATCCCCATCCTAGAACCCGGGTTCATTTCAGCAGATCACTGATTTTGCATGTTGAAGCCTAGAGAACCAGGGAATTCTGAAAGAAAGACTTGCAAAATATTTTTCCTGACATTCAAAATGATTTTTGTACTCTTTGTTGCCACCCTCTCTATCGAATTTAAGAATAAATGTCCAACTTGCAGAAAAAAGATTTATGTTAATACTGCTAGAGGAGCTAAAGGAAAAGCAGTTGCAGTCCGTTGCATCGGAGTCATTTTTTTCATCTTGCGGGAAGCAGGACAGACAAAAAGCCAGGAGGTCCAGTTAAGGCTGTGGGGTTGGCAGTCAGAAATACCGAGTTTATTCATGCAGTCTCTCGTTCCCCCACTTATCCGGTGTTCACAGCTAGAAATGGGGATGGAGAGGGAATCTTACATTTTTCCTGGCTGCTTGAACTTATAAACACATTTCCAACCCCCATCCCTCCCAGGAAAGGCTCTGAGATCGTGATAAGTGATGTGACTATGTAAGCATTTTAAAATAGTTTTTTTTAGCAGTTCTTCATGTCTTTCTCCTTGTTCTCACTGTTCTTCAAAGCTGCTTCCTCCGGCCTGGCATTTTAGCCCCAAAGAATGTTTCTTGGGAAAAAAAACTTGTGCATCCCTCTTAAAATATGGTCTAGAAATTCTGTTGTGAGAGGGGTGAGGAAGGAGACCAGGATCCAGAAAGGTTCACTGAGTAAATTTTACACCTCCTTTCCCAAGATCTCTCCAATCTGAAGGGTTTTTTTCTATTGTTCTGATAGAGATCCCCAAATTAGTGGAGGAAAACCCATACTTCTTTTATGTTTTGTTTACAAAACTATAGTTTCCATACTTAAAGGAAAACACAATCTAATCCAGGTACGGGCTCTGAGTCTTATTAATCAGTGAAAACTGCTTCATTTTTGTTTCCTCTAGGAGTTAAGACTAAGGCAAACCAACATGGCTCTGCCTGACACAAGAACCCTCTTTTCTCCTTGACAGTGTCTTTCCTATTTCAGACCCCACATTTGACGGCGTGACTGACAAACCAATCTTAGACTGCTGCGCCTGTGGAACTGCCAAGTACAGACTCACGTTTTATGGGAACTGGTCAGAGAAGACACATCCGAAGGATTATCCTCGTGAGTAGAGACGCTATTTTACAGTCTGCGGGAAAAAGCACGTTGAAGTTCTGTCTACTTGTGGGATACCCAAGCTGCTATCTGTCAGCTGAGCGTGCTATTATCCACTGATTCATGAAACTTGCATTCCATTAAGTAAATTTATGGAGCCAGACACAAAAGTGGTGTGCTTTTAGCTTCTTTGCATAGCATTGTTCAATGTGTTTTCTTATCTGTGGATTGTAAAAAATATTCCTGAAGTCATGCTACTTATCATCAGGTCAAAGCATGTGGTAACCTCAGTTCTCCTGAAATAACTCTATAATTATACAACACGCTGATTTGTACTGAAAATAGCTGGGAAAAAAAACCTTGACCTTGGGCCAAGGATATAGCTCAGCAGCATAAGTGCCTGTCTGGTAAGCACAGGTTCACAAGTTCAATCCCCAATACCAAAAAAAAGAAAGAAAGAAAGAAAGAAAAACCTTGACCTTGACACCTCAGACCAAATCAAGAACTACTTAGCATCTTCAGCCTTTGTCAGTGTCAGTAATCAGTTGGTACCCACTTTCCCTACTGATTCTAGATGCCACCTTCCAATTCCTTGGTGACACCTTGCTCTTAGTAGACAATACAAATCTGTGAAAGCTGTCAAGAGACCCCGGCTTGCTGTTTTGGGGTGGATCTCTAACCAAAACCCTCCCAACTCCTTTTTTATTAGACACTTAACTCAACGAACACCTACCACATGACAAGCACTGTCCTGCGCTCTAGAGATGGAACAGTGAACAAACAAAAGTTGTAGCAGACACTAATCAAATAATTACAAGAACAGGTTTAAAAATTATAACCATGAATAGTAGATTTAACCATGTACCAAGCAGTTTTACATGGTAGATGATATCATGCTCAAAATAACCTGCTTCTCTGAAATTCACCAAGGATCAGAGAGAGGTCATGGTTTGCCCAAAATCAAGTGGAATTAATGATTCCTAGACTCAAAGATGGGTTTTTCAGGTTGCTTGTCTTGCCTTTAGTTTTGCCTTTGAGACCCAGGGTCGCCTGTTCTCTGTAGCCGTGGGTGGCATGATGCCTGTGTGTGGCACTGAGCGTGTTGCTGTCTCTGTTTGTTGTCTGTTTTGTTCTTGTGCATTTCACTCTAAAGTTACCACAGCTGGAAAAGAATAGTATGAATGGGAGAAAGACCAAAAAAAAAGGGAATCTGGGCCAGGCCCCAAAGGAAGGAGACACATGGGTAGGTTTCAGACCCGGGCCCCACCAGAACCTCCCTGGTTCCTAAACAGCCCACCCACAGGAGACACCAACATCTCTTGGCAGAGCCAAAGCCCTATTGTTTAATGTCATTCACATATAACCAAGGCATGTGATCATAGAAGCCGCTCTGATTAATTCCACTGACCCTGAGACTCGGCCTGCTCTGCCTCAGCCAATGTGGGAGACCTGCATGAACAAACGTGGACCCTTTCTGGGAGAGAAACCACTGGGAACAAGGATATTGGAAAAAATTTCCTGCAGTTGTCCCATCACAGGGGAAAACTAATACAGGGAAAATAAAATGTTGGGGCCATCACTCATCTTTTGTGAGCCTAAGGAGCTTTTTTGGCCCTTTTTTATTCTGCCATTGTCATTTCCCAGAATTTAGGAAGGGGGAGGTTTAAAAAAATGTTTCTGTGTGTTTGGGGTAAATTAAGTACAAATCTATACAAGATTTCTGTGGCGCTGTTGGAGTCTCTTAATAAATGTAGCAGGCATGTGTTCCAGTTTCCTCAGGGTAAACCCCACTGTCGGATACTATGACACACTTTTTGTCAGATTTGTCCTAATTTTCAGTTAGGGAAATGTGATAACTATGTACAGAGCTGCATCTATCAAATCATACCATAATTATTTCTTCAGGCGTTTTTCTCCCCACCAGAATACAACACCCTCTGGCCCAAAAGCCACGCCATGCGTTCTTTGGTTCTTAATTCCTCAATGCTTCCCGAGTACTAGGTCCTGATTGTCTAGCTCAGAGTAGCACTTGTTATGACCTTGGTGGCAGATATCCAGCCTACACCTGGTCATGATGGACAGTACTGAGCAGGAGGTGTGGGCTGGACCTTCCTTGGAGCAAAAGGGGTGAACTTGAAGTCTCAATGGGCTGGAGCCATGCAGAAGGGTACAGAGAAGGTCTAATGAGTTTGGTGAGATTTGACACTCTCACTAGTGATTTTTGGCAGTTGTAAGTCATAGATGCCTTTCCCTTGCTACTTCAGGAAAGATTCTGTATTGATAAGCAACCCTCGTTGCCATGTTCAGAGAACCTTACAGTACAAACTGACAAATGTAAGCATCCCTCTCTTATGTGGGTTCATCATCCAAATGCCTCTTTCTTTACAGAGATCTTAGGAAAAGGGTTCTCAAGTGTTTAACCACCAGATCTTTCTACATACTTCAAAAGTCACTGAGAACTTCAACATACTTTTGTTTATATGTGTTGATATTGCTAAATAAATTTTAAAATACCATTCATTAATTTTTAACATACAGCAATAATAAATTTATGTTTAATAAAACAAACTTACATGTTAACATAAATAACATTTTATGAAAACGATATTGTTTAAAAGAAATTTAGTGAAACAATGCCATCATTTTGCATTTTTGCAAAGCTTTTTACTATCTGACTTAATAAAAGATACTTCAATTCTCATCCACCTTTGTTTCTGCATTCAGCCTATCGTGATATATTTTGGGTTGATGTATATGAAAAAAATTGTTTCACATGGAAAAAGGCAGAGTATTTTAACCACCTTCCTAGATAATTACAGACAATCATCTTTTGTTACTACTGCAAATTACAAACTCTACAAATGGTAATTTTAAAAGGTTAATGTTATGGCTTGTGTCCCTAAAAATCATAGGATTTTTTCAGAGGTGGCTGAATCCAGAGTGTACAATTGATTCATAGTGCAATGCTGGGATTAAGGGTGGGTGATGTTGGATCAGTCCATGATTGGATTGACAACACCCTGTGCCCAGTAGACTGGATGCAGTATAAGGCACAGAAAGAGTCTAGCCCCGTTCTTTTTTGTTGCTTTTGCCATTTTCCACCACCATGAACTATTGCCCTTCCGCCTTGTGCCACCCTGCCTTGGAGCCAGCTGACTCCATAATCTGAAACTTCTTCCAGATGTGAGCTAAATAAACCTTACCCCTTTAACTTTGGGAGTCAGGTGTTTTGCCTCATCAATAAGAAAAGTAAGACAGTTAATTATATGAAATACTGAGACCGTGTCAATGAATTTGTACTCTATTACATTCAAATGCATTGCTTATCTTCCACTTTGAATGGATCTTTTATAAATGTATGCTTTTATAACAAGATACATTGGTCATTTGGAAAATACAGGTTTAAAGTGTTACACAGACCATCCAAATGCTGACAGTTCATTAAATAATATGAAAAATCACATCCATTAATATGAATGCAAATCTCATCGGAAAAGTGTTTGAGCACTGGAAATCCATCAAGTTCACAGTGATGAAGACAAGTTTCCTAAGATTTGGAATTTTGCTTGAATTTTATCATTGGCAACAAATACTGTCAGTTATTTTAAAGTGACAGGCTTACTTCGTTTTTGAGAAAAAGCCTGCTGAATTCCCAAGTCTGAATAATCATAATTTGTGTGTTGTTTGTGCTTTCAAGTAAAAGTGGTGATTTGGAGGTGTAAAAAGTGGCTAGTCCAGCTTGCACCTTAAAGCACTGCCTAAGTGCCTTCCTCCAGGGCAGAATACTTCAGCACACAGCAGAAAGGCTTTTGCATGTTTCCCAACTAGTCATAACAGAAGAATTACACAGTGTGTACTCAAAGGTGCAGATTCAAGGAAATTAATTGTTTTTATTATTACATCAAGGACATTCTTAAGTGAAACTGGCATTCTTTTGTTGTCTACTTTGAATACACGGCAGTGAAGAATACATTGACTGATGGAGTTCAGGGCCACCGCTTTGATCCGCACTCAGTGACAATGTGAATGTCCACATATTGCAAAAAGCAAATAATGTCTTAGTATTATGAAAACAGTCTTCACCTCTCAGGACCCCCAAGAGAGTCTCAGAGTCCCCCAGCACCCGTCTATCCCACTTTGAGCATGTCTATAATACAGTAAGAGAGCAGCCCAATGTGTCTGACCCTCAGTTCTTGAGAATTCACACTGGACACCCGTGGAGGGCCCGCAGCAGCAGGTGCAGAATGGTTTATTCCAAATGCTGTTTCGGGGATTCGCCCCATAGGACGTGAGAGCACGCTCTCTAGGAGGGACAAAGTGTGGTCAGACATGAGTGCAGGCAGGAGAGTGGCCCCAATGGCCCCTGGCATTTCTCCTCTGTGGACTGTGCAGAAAGAGTGAAATCTTTTAAAAACATCCCCAGTGGGGTAGCTCCAGAAATTCATTTTAAGGCTGGATCATATAAGTTTTACCTTCTAATTTTCTAAGTGAAAAATATCCTGCAGCACAAAAACATTATAGGCTCAGATCACAGAACCAGCAAGCGTCTGAACCAAATCAAAACTTAGATCCCAGTTCCCTTTTGCTTTCCTCTGGGGGCTGTCATGAGGCCATCAATCTTCTGTTCTTTGCAGAATTAAGCGCCTTACACACAAAGCATCTTTTAATACGGTTCTGCTACACTAATATGAACTCAGCAAGAACCAAATTCTGTACCTTTCTGAACTGTATAAAGACCTTCTCCACAAAGATCCTAACCAGGGGGAGAAGGTCTGGATTTGCTGGGCCTGAATGGAGTTCCTAAGGCCTATAAGCTCTACAGTGTCTGTTCTAGGCACTGTCAGTCTCTGGTTCCCAGCATCAGGCATCTCCTTCCCAGGAGCAAGGTGACCAAGCATGTAAGGATGCACCAAGGACTGGAGACCTGCCACACCATTAGGAGAATCCTAGCAGATGCTGAATCTCTCTGATCTGTGGCTTTCACACAGCTCGTGAGTTTTTGACAAATA